TGTGAACAGAACTTAAATGCACTGTGAATTAAATGCACGGCTCTGGCTGTGGACAGTCCTGCTCTAGTCCCCTGCTTCTCATGCTCTGTACCTTGCTGGCCTTCAGGATGTTGATCTGCTCTTCGTACACTGTGTCTCTGTTTTTCTCCAGAAAACCATCTGAAAGGTACTCCACCTGGGGCCGCGGCAGGAAACAGAAACAGGAGTTAGTGCTGCACCCGACCGAGCAGCTTCCTTCAGCAGCTTCTTGAGCAGTTTCATCTCATCCACACGGTGCTTTCTGAAAACAGGTGTGAGTAAATGGGAAACCCACAGATTAAATGCAAACCGAAGGTGAGATCAGGAGATACGTGGAGGGAAGTGGGTATTCATTTTGTGGAAAAACGCTGTTTTCAAGAGGAGTTCCCTCTAATAGAAGGCTTCCTTTGGGGGTTGTAAATGAAGCTTTTGGGCGACACCTGATCTCCTGAATTTGAACTTTGACAAGACCCTGGGTGACTCACATGCAGACTGAAGTCTGAGAAGCACTGGGCCGGTACGCACAGAGCAGAAATCCATGAAGGAAAATCCTAAGTATCCTCCAGTGACTGAGAAGCAGCCACCCAAAAAAGAGCTCCACTCTGTTTTCTTTTTTCTCTCAAGCTCTGGAAGACAGACTTGTGACTTTGTTACAGCTGCTAAATTCCCAGGAAAGAGACTCTTGTTGAATATTTGGTAAGCATGTAAGTACCAGCACCCACTGGGGTTCTGCCGTGCCGTGACAGGTTGGCACACTAGAAAGATGGCGTAGGAAGGGAAGAAAGGGTGGGAGGTGACCTTAACTAAGAGACTTCAGCCTGTTTGAATTCAAACGGGACAGCTCCCTCATAGCCCAGACACCCTAAGTCTGCCTAGGGTGGGGCTAACGGAGCCCCAAATCCCACAGAGGGGAGACCCACCTTGTCCGCGAAGTGCACGACAATGAAGGCCGTGTTGGACATGCGGGGTTTCTGGAAGTGCTGGCTGCCGGAGTGCCGGTCATAGAGCTTTTGAGCCCAATTCTGGTCAGTTCCTTTGGGGACCTGTGGAACCACAAAACCAGGTGCTTTGTGAAAAGGAAAAAGGGAGCCAAGAGTTGAGGCAGAGGGATGGAGTCCATCGGTACGCTGACCTCATGAGGCTGGATTCAGCTCTCAGACTTGGACTCTAAGTGGACGTGGCAAACGAGATTCCACCGTGGACACTGAGGGTCCTGCCATGCCATGCTCCCCGCACACCGTGGGGTTGGTTCCCGTGGCATCCACAGGAGTGTGCTGAGCTTGAGAGAACCTGCTGGTTGGCAGATGCTGGACGGGTTAGAGAAGATGAGGGTGGAGGCCAAGGTCCCGGGAGCAGAGTCACGGCGCATGGAGCGAATCTGAAGACTTTCCTCCTCCGCGTCAGGTCAGTGATTTGTTTCACGAACACGGCACGCCCACCTCCAGTGCCACGCTCCCGCTCACTCGGGCTGGACTCCTGCAGCAGGAAGCTCGCGTGCGCTTGCCCTCAGCTCATCTCACACACCACTGGCGAGGCTCAGCTCAAGTCTGACCTTCTCTCTGGAGCCTTTCCTGACCACTCTTGATTTCACTCTGAAATTCCTCATGACTAAGCTCTCACACATACACTACCTAATGCTGCTCGTCACTGGTTTTTGTGTATTGTAACCACAAACTGTAAGTTTGTTGGGTTCGAGGGCTGGGCCTTACTGTTTATTCCTGCCCCGCAAAGAACTGAGAACTGGGTTCTAGTCAGTAGCTAGAGACTGAACTATGCAATACTAATCTCTGCCTCCTCCAAATTTAAATTTAAATTTAGAGGTTCCAATATATTAAGAATTCTGAAGAGCGGCCCCTTTCACTCACATCTGGAGATGGCTTCAAAAATGAAAAAGCATCATCTTGCTTTACAACCACACAGAGTCACTGTGACCACCATTCAAATGCTCAAGGATGATGGTGACTCTTCTGATGGGAAGGAGCTCCTTCCTGTCACGCCTGAACAGCACAGCACACATGCATTCCTCAGTTATGGGTCACGAACTGACTTACCTTTCATGAGTTTAGATTGTACATTTGGATCAGGCAGGGTCGAAGGTGACCCTTGCACTAGCTTTTTAAAAAGAGCTTTGTTTAGTAAATCAACAAAATCTGTGCCATAAGAAAAATGCTTACAGTTGAGAACAAATTTCTCAAATACTTTGTAAGCAAACACATTTTTCTCAGTATTCAATTTGGTATACCTAGTATTGAATATCCAGTGCTAAGTGCCATAGGAACTTCAAGAAAAGAAAACTTCTCAAAGGAAGCTATTGTGTTGGGCAGAAAAAGTAAAATATATCTAATTCAGCATTTTTTATATATACCGTTTTATATTTGTCTCCAAGCATCCTGTGTTTAGAAACCCCAGGCATGGGAGAAGGAAGGGGTCAGCCTGAGCGGGCTGTCAGGTGATGACGACTGAGGACGGGAATGCAATGGACCCAAGACTGGCAGAACTGGGGCAGACAGACCAAGAAGAGCAGGACTGTGGAGAAGCCCTTCCTAGGTCAACACTTACATTTGCTGGTATCAAAATCATCTCGTCTTGACAATGTAATCAGACTTCTGTTAGAAGAGTCCATAATCCCACACATTCCCTAATTCAGACTGGCATGAATCAATGAGGAAGGTCATGTGTGTACATATTTCATGATGAGGGGTCAGTCTCTCTTCTCACCGCCCCCCTTTCCCCACCATCCTCAACTAAAAAGAAGGGCCAGTAAGAATTGGCAATTGAGATTCTCAGCCACTACTAACAGTGAATGCCCACAGTGCTTATTATTTGCTAGACAGTTTTCTATACATTTTAGATGTATTGACTCATTTAATCCTCACAATAATCCTATGAGCTAGGTAGGCACTATGTTTATCCATATTTGACAGACCAGGAAGCTGAGACAGAGAGGTTAGGCAACTTGCCCAAGGACACAGAGCTGGGAACCAGCAGAGCTGTGGTTCAAATCAGGACAAGCTTCTCTGGAGCACATGCTCCTCGCTACTATACTCTCCTGCCTGACGACAGTTTTAAAGGTAGTCAGGAAGGCAGCGTCAGGTGGAAAGTACTTATTCCTAAAAATCTTTCCATAAAAGTAGATTCAAAACAGGCACTGGATAAGAAAAGCAAATCTTGTAATTTGTTAAAATCTAGAGCATGGCTATCAGTACCTCTGGAAGATGCAGTGAATCCAATCTTTTAAAAAAGAATGTATAAGTGGCTTCATTCAAGCATCTACACTCTTCTCTCAAGTCACGTGAAGAGGGTGCTGGGCCAGGAGCCTGGATCCCAGCTCTGCCCTAATCTGGGCAAGGCTGTCCCTCAGAGGCCTTATCCCTCTGACCTGCTGTGTTGGCCACTGGACACATCAAAAACTAAAGGTTCTACCTTTATGAAACGTCCAGAATAGGCAAATCTATAGAGGCAGGAAGTAGATTACCGGTTGCCTGGGCTGTGGGGGGAATGGGGAGCAACGGCTCGTAGGGCTGAAAATGTTCTGCAGCTGACTGCAGAGGTGCGGTGATAGCTGCACAGCACTGAGCGCACCAAATTCACGGACTTGTATTTTCAACAGCCGAATCGTATGGTCTTTTAATTACATCTCATACAGCTGTTGAAAACACATTAAACCTGATTTTACTCTTTGCTATTAAAATAAAATAGAAAAAATAGCGGGGGCAGAGGAGTTAAAGTCCCCGGGCTCACTGAGCGCCTCTTCCTGAACAGCCCGGGGCCCAGGACAACTTTTCACCAGCTTTTCTTTGCATCCCTGGGCAGACACTGTGCTCTCACAGCCAGGCTGCCATCACAGGCCTGGGACATCGCCTGCCCGACGAGAGATGACTGGTAAGGACCTCAGAGCCAGTTATTCCATCTCTGCTTCCTGTCCCTGTCTTCCTGGGGCACGGCCGCCAACAACTGCCTCCCTAGTCACTTACTCGCGATCTTGTTCCATCCCACACCGCTGTGGGCCCCCTGATGCCGCCACCATTGCTGACCTCTCAAGTGACCAGGCCACCATCAACACCTTGGGACCCTCCCTGCCATCACAGAAGCCTGGCTGGGCCCCCAGGACTCTGCTGTCCTAACAGCTCTCTGGATGGCAACGGCTCCTTTCTCCCCACCGGGCAGCCATCCCCAGGGCCAGTTCTGGGCCTTTACTTTACCACCTTCACAAAACACCCCTCTGTGTGCTCAGCGAAACAATTCTAGACCAATCCAGGTACAAATCTGTCCTCTCCCATATCTGGGTGGCTGGCTATGACCACACCTCAACTCCTCCTCCCTTAATCAAGTCCTTCTGAAAACTTAGCATCATTTAGTATTCCTGCCAAAAAAATAATCAAATTCCACTGAGAATCACCTCTGTGGATTCAGACACTGCACCCCGATCTAAGCTAGGAGTTGGCTTTGGCAATACCTATATCTCAATTTATGGTTTCTGACCTCAGCAAAGAAATGAAGGCACTCTGCTACTTCTCTTCCCTATTCAAGGACAGCCATTCCCCTCTTCCTTCATTCTCCTCAAGCTTCTAACCCTGCCTGCCACCTCTAGGCAGATGCCTCATTTCCTCCCTCATAAGGAAATAGAGGTTGTCAGGAACCCTCAAATTCCTATTCTACGTCCAGATGCACATCTGCATCCAGTGGTTACCCCTCCGAGCCTCCTCACGGGAAGAGGTGCTTCTCCTCCCAGCCAGTGCCCCATCCACCCACCCCCCTGCTTCCCGGGGACCAGGATCCGCCCATCCTCCCTCTCTCCCTGAATCCTCAGTTGATCGCTCCCCCACCTTTCCTCTCTCCCACCTCCTCCTTTTCACAGCCAAGCCTCCACAGGGAATTCCAACTTGCCACCACCACTGCCTCACCTCCCAGTCTCTCCTCAGGTAACTGAAGTTAGGCTTCCGCTCAGACAACTCCCTAGAAACTGCTCTAAGCCACGACTCACTGTGAAATGCAGTGGCCTGCAGACCCTCAGCACTGAGCTCCTTCCTGAGCCCCTCTCCCCTCTCTTCAAGCCCTAGTCCTCTTCCACCCAGATGACCGAAATGCAGTCCAGGCTCTCTCTCCGACTTCGCTTTCACACAGTTACGAGAGAGATCTGCTGGAAAATGACTGGCATCTGATCACATCACTCCCCCGCTTCACGCTCTTCAGTCCCCAAAGCCTTCTGATTCAAGTCCAAACGCCAGATCCTCCTAGCCTCAGACGCTTACTGCTCCCCACCCTCACCTGCCACGACCACGGGCTCTGGACAAATCAGACCATGTCAGATTTTGCATAAGTGACATTCCCCTTGCCCAGGACACCCCTTCATTCATGACTTCTCTGCTCAAACAGCCTTTTTGGGGACATTCTTTTTTTCTCAGCCATCTCCTCCTGTTTCCATTTCCCTATCATCACAGGTGATGATTCCAGTGCTTGCCTGGCCCCCAGGGAAGAGTGTCAAAGGGCAGTGGGTCAGTCGCTTACGCAGGACACAGGGTTTGTTGGGCAGATGAGTGAAGAGATGTAGAATGAGGCCACTCCACCTCCCTCCATCACAGATCTCTAACCTGCTCACAGATGTGCTAGACAAGGAGACCTCTGGGGCTACGTCTTAAAACACCACGAATCCCTGCTCTTAATACAGAGTAAGCTCTCCTGAGAGCAGGCTGGGCCCAGGTAAGGACACAGAAGGGCATTCGCCTCTCCACTGTCTCGAGCCTTTCACTCTACTGCAGCAAGAACGAGATCTCAATTCAGAAGGTCCGCCCAGTCGGCAATCAAAACAAAAGAATACCAGTCACACGGGGTGGAACTTGCCTCCCCACACCCCGCCCCACGGAAGCCTGCCTTTGTGGGCCCCTAACACCCTCTCTCTGACCTCAGAGGTGTCGAGGTATCATTTTCAGAAAATTCCTGCTAAAATGCAAATATGTCACTTATGAGGAACGTGCTCTGCCCTCTCATCTCTTACCAGCCCCGGCACATTGTTCCTCCAACAGGGAGGGTACTGGTGACTGGGACACAGGAAAGGCCGGGTCTGAGTAGGCTTGTGCAGCCCCACAGCAGCCTGAGAGAGCTCTGGGCAGGGGCAGGGGCTTTAAGACAGCCTGGAAGTTAGCACTCCCTACAAGCAAACAGCCTCTCACCTGCCCCCTTGGTTACTGAGGAGCAGCTACAGTTTGTGCTTTGGTTTGGGTCTGACTATAAATCCATGACTGCAAAGTGGCTTTTCCACCTGAAGGAATCCACGGCAGTTTAATATTCCGGTCCCTATGCTTCGTCTGCAGCTTCCAGCACCAGTCACAGGCTCTGGGACAGCTACCCGGTGTGCTGCCCCTTTAAATCTATGGCCACTCCATCTCTGTGTTTCTAATTTAAATCCTGGCTCACTGGCCCTGCCTGCCACTGGGTGTCAAATCCAGGAAAAGTGATTTTCCCAATGGCTGCTTTTATACCGTGAGTTTAATCCTTCATTTGGCTTTATGTCCTGTCACATAAGGGACACAGAACCCAATTCTTCACAGTGCAATCTCATTATTCTTTCTCATCCTGCAGAGTGTACCTGAGCGACAGAGGAGGAAAGGAACGTGTCTGAGGCAGCTCCATGGTCAGCAGGACCAGTTCTGAGGTCTGCCAAGCTGCCCACTCGAGACCAAGTCCCTGGGAATTCTTAGCCTGCCGTGGACACTGCCAGAGGGTACAGCAGGCTGCCCTATTTTTGAAAGTCGGATTTTTTGTCATATAATTTCCATACAGTAAAATACAGTTCCATGAGTTTTGACAAATGTACTAACACCTGTTGGTTTAAAATCCACCTGTACTAGAAGCTGCATCAGCTTACATTGAATCCCTCTAAACTCTCAGAGCAATTAAATCCAGTAGAAAAAGATTTCTACATGGAGATTCTGTATCATTCCTTAATTTGGTGTTCCTCTTGCCCTGCCTGCTCCATCCAAGACCCTGGCCGCCAGTGAGTTTAGAAATGCCTCATTCACAATACTATCCCACATCTCAATGCTTGAGCTCCCACCAGCTTGATTAGCAGGAAATCTAGGCCTTCCTCAGACCTGCCCTTCTCAGGGGCCTTTGGGAGGGAGACACAAGACCTAACAGAGAACCAAGCAGCTGCCTCAGTCTGAGTTGGCACCCCTGTCCTCGATTGTTTAGCTGTCATCCTGCTGCCCTTGGGCTGTGGCCCATGCCTCTCCCAGCCTGCTCTGGGACCCTGGCGGCCCTCCCCGGCCCCACCTCCACTCACTCAGGCCGAGCTCCACGGAGCACCACCCTGTCCCTCCCCACTGCTGCCTGGCAGGGAGATCCTTCCTCCTCTCCTGAGGATTTTCCCTCAAGATCAGACAAATAGTAGGTGCATAAAACATTCAGGGTGTCTGACAAACTGCAGCGGCAGGAGTTTAAATTGCATACGGTCTTAAACCGAAATCACCCAATTTTACAAATCTGATCCAAACAGAAGGCTCCACAGAGCATAAGGCAGAGATCATCCACATGGACACAGTTGGATTTTTCTTTCCCTTGGCTTCTCGAAAGGAAAATAGATTCCAACAGGGATGCCCCCCGCGGTGTGTACTCAGTAGGAAGACTGAGAACATGAGGGTCTGGGGACCCCAACTGCACAGTCTACCATCCAAGGCTGCCCGGTCTAGGCATTTCATAATTGCTGAATATCTGCATCTTGGGCCTCCCTGCGGCCGCTGCCTACTTTCCTGCCGCCTGCTAGTTCTCCCACCACTCTCTTGACCACCTGGCCCCCAGCCCTGCACTACCCTGGGCTTCCCCTGGGTGGCTCGTGTCCCACCCTCTGGACAGCAGTCTGAGGTCTATGCACCTCTGCACTAGGAACAGTGCTTTGACCACTCTGACTTGACCACTCCTGGAACATGTTCCCTTGGGTAGTGACACCTCTCAGATCCTCAAACCATAAGTCAAAATGACCCCCCAACGGTGCTCCATTGCCTGCTAAAGGCAGAGTAAATTATTGAAAGTCAACTGGGCAGCTGTTCAAATTGTGGAATGAACCAGCCGGAAGCACTCAGGTGTTTTGAGAGGTGTGTGTGCACCTGAGAAGAAAGAGGCCATGCCCCTGCGGGGTTCGGTTTATGTCAGTTAACTCTTCAACACAGAACCGGGTAGACCAGCACGAGATGGTCTGCCTGCCTCACGTGTTCCTCAGAGCTGTGTAGACCTTGACCTGCACCACTGGAGAAGGAGTGAAGAGCTGGAGTCCTGGAGCCAGAGGAGCTATGCTGGCTCAGCATCCCAGAGGCCTGGGGAGGACATAAGGACATGGTGTTGTCTTTGGGTTGGGGGTGTGAAGCTGGAGGAGACGGGCAATGGATAGAATCACAAAAGAGATGCGGGAGGGGGAGCTGGTGGCAGTGGACACTGAACCAAGAAAGTGAGTGGTGAACACCAAAGAGTGCGTGGAAGGCCTGGACTGTGACTTTCGTCACTCAGCCTGTGCCACTTGATGCATGGGGTAATTGTCACATCAGCTTTACTGCAACCTTGCAGGTAGAGCACGCCCAGGTACTCTCCTTCCACAGCGAGGAACTACCCCTGCCTGGATGTGACTCGGGACAAAGTCCACAGCTCTGAAGAACCGCTGAAAATCATGAGATGTGCAGCCTGTGGACTTCGGGATATTTTCACTCTGTCTTCTACTGTTCTAGCAACCTTTTCTTTTCCTTTTCATAGCCAATGAAACTAGGAGTACCCTTCTGGAAGAAAAATACCTCCTCCTCCCAAACCATCAAGCCACACTCCCCGCGTATAGGCAAGACATGGGAAACCAAAAAGGAAAAGCGACTGGGTTCTTCCCTTTCGATACCAAAAATCGTGTGGTTCCGATACACTTTGTTTAGTGTTCCATCACTGGAGAAGAAACTGATACACATTGACCTCCTTATCACCAACCACCAAACAAGGAGAAAATTCTGAAGCTCACTGGAACCAACCCCCACCAATTACAGAGCAGGAAACCAAAGGCCAAAGAAGTTAGGTGATAACACCCAGATTCGCCCCCGCCCCACATGCCCAAGGCTGTCTGGTTCTCTCCATGCTGGCAATCCAGGACTTTCCTGCCCTACCAGGCAGAGTCCACAGAAAGAAGGATGCGGGAACTCTATGGACCTCACCTGCCACCAAGCCATGCAGCTCTACTCCTCACAAGCCATCTGGCACAGCAAAGATGATCCTGAGCTCTTGACCCTCACATCTGTCTAGATGTTGGGGTCATTCTCCAAGCACCTAGGGTATCTGGAGCATCAAATCCATACCACCATCATACCATGCCAATCATACCACCCAGCCTCTGCCAAAAGAGGCACACGTTCACCAACGAAGCAACGGCTGGCAGTCACACTCAACGTGTTACCGTCTAGCAAACAGAATGGACGCTGGTGCTTCTCTCGGCACACTAAAGGCTGGCTAACCACAGAAATTCCACCTTTGAGATCTCGCGTGTTGCCCTGCACCACACTGCTGTCCTCTGCCCCCACCCCAAGCCTGGGGCTGAATGAATTCAATGACAGCTCCATCAGTTTTACCTTACACTCTTCATCCAACAGGTCCAGAATGCCCAGCTTAGCTTCTATGAGGTCGATACAAGGTTGGTTATCGTAAAAATCAATCAAGGTCCAAGGGATCTGCTCCTTCATGTATTCTTCTTGCTCCAGTTTGAAGACATGCTAGGGTAAGGAGTGAAAGGTCAAGGTTAGTGACTGGCAGGCACACCTGAACATTCATCTTCCCTGAGCTTCAGCCACATGAGTTCAGAGTGCTGGAGGCTAGTGTGCACCCACCAGAAAAGGTGTGAGTGCTGAGTTACAGCCATGACTGCAGAACAGCTCAGCTAGGTGATCCCCACTCCTATGTGAACCCCCTCTCCAGGACATTCTAATAATCACCTGCGATTATATTGGTCATATCCCAACCAATCACAAGAAGACTCATGTGTGTTTGAAAGTGCTGAAATATCCCAGAAGCCCAAGTTCAGGAGCAGTGGGGGTCAAAGTCAAGAGGAGGACCATTTACCCTGTTAACTCGGCCGCCCCATTCAGACCTCCTCCTGAGCATTGGGGAATGCCTTCCTAAAGCTGGGGCACCACCAGGAAATCAAGGACAGGGCAGAGCAGAGCCCACCGGCCCTGGGTGGAAGAGAAGCGGCCTGGCCATCACTCTCAGGGAGAGAGGTCCCCCAACCCTGACAGCTCAGGCCCAGAAACCAAGCCTACCGAGTTGAACTGCTGCTGGAGCTTCTCATTTGCATAGTTGATACAAAACTGCTCAAAGCTGTTTACCTCAAATGTCTCAAACCTACAGAATGGAAAGAAGAGAGGACAAAGTAAGAGACATTTCCTTGTAACAAAGGAACCGCTGGGACCTCAGTAAGTGCCCTCATCCTCTCTCCTGAAGTCCCGGTTTCTGCTCTCGTGCCCAGAGACCACTGTTGCAGGTACCAGCACGACAGAGCACCCTGTTAAATTAGCAGAGTAAGAATGCATATCCATTTTCACAATCAGAAAAAGGACTAACAGTAGGAAAATTGAGAGAAAGCAGATGTAAAAGGGAGAAAGTCACCCACGATTCCGTCACTCGTCTCACCGACAGTTATATTTTGGTAGGTTTCCTTTCGTTGATACTACATTTCTGAACAAATGAGAATTACGTGTAAAATGAGACCTCCTATTTTCATCATTTAGCTTTCTATTGCGAACATTTCTCCATGCCATCGTTCTCCAAAAGCAGCAGTTTTAATGTCTGCCTCATCAATCGTTGTATGGACTGACGTGACGACTGCATAGGGCGCCCAGGTGAGGGGACAAGTGAGGTTGAAATTTAGCGGGTACCTCCTTCACGAGCTTGGGAGAGGGTGTTCCAATCAGATGGGGTGACTTCTTCCAATTCAAACAAAGGCTCCTCATGGGCTGGCAGTGCCCCCTACACAGATGAATCATATTTAACCAATCCCCTATTGCAGAACATTTTGGTTCCTTTTCCCGTTTTAAGATGCTATTAATGCTGTGACAAATACTGTATATATCTCTTTGGATTCACGATTCCGTCCACAGAGTGTTATCCTAGAAGGAGAATCACTACATAAGAGTATGGTTTCTTAAAAGGTTGAAGCAAATTAACCTCTAGAAAGGTGGAACTAATTTATGTTATCACCCCATTCCCACCCCAGCAACCCAATGTATGAAAGTGTCCTGTTCTCCTAATACTAATGGAGAGTGTTTTTAGTTTGTTTGTTTTGTTTTTGTTTACTAAGAGTTTACATAAGGAAGATCCAGCAAATTTAAGGGTGTATTTCAATGAGTTTTGACAAATATTCTAGAGTGTGACTACCAGCCCAACTCAGCTGTAGAACATTTTCATCTCTCCCAAATGTTCCCTTGTGTTCTAGCCTTGTACCTCTCTGGGAGTATTCACGTATCATAGCTCTTTGGTCCCTAGTGTAGATTAACTTTTAAAAGTTTTTGGTGACTTACTACATGAATAATATGTTTGTCTGAATTTTCATTTCTTTTATCATCAATGAAGTTCAACATTTTTCTGTATATGGGAACTAGTCATTTGTACTTTGTGAATAATCTATGATCACTGGGGATGTGTTTGTTGGGTTTCAACTTTAAAAAAGGACTTGTTGAACTCTCTATCATATCGACACTGTCACTTACTGCTCAACTCAAATGTCTGCAACTGGTTTGATCACTATGTGGATGGAGGCCATGGAGCCCACAGGAAGGATGCTGGGTAGAGAGATGAGATATGGCACTGCAGAGCCAGGCAGGGGTCCTGCTTGCAGGCCTTGTGTGCTACACTACACTGAGGGGTTTTTACCAGGGGCAATGGGGAGAATTTGAAGGATTTTAAATTAAGAAATGACAATCAGATTTGCATCTTAGAACTGGCTGAAGGGTGGAGAAAATTGTGATTTGGGGGAAGGATTACAAGACTCAAGGCAGGAAACTGAATAAGGCAATAATTACTAGAGTAATAATCCAGGCAAGATCCAATCAGAGCTTGACTTAAACTGGAAATGTTCTAAAGCCATTAAGGAAGGTAGAAATGAGAGGATTTTGAATGACCAACAAGGTGACCAGGTGAGATTCACCTGCACAACATGGATGTGGTAGATCTCACCAAGCTAAGAACATTATAACAGCATCAGCAGCTTTAGCTACAAAATGTGGGGCCATCCTGCCCCCTGAGCGATGTCATCAGGCCAAGACAGTGAAAAGGGGCAGAAATCTAGGAGGAAGAGGTATCTTTTTCTCCTTTACACGACAGGCTGAATGAGTTGGAATGAGCGCCTACAGAGTACTAGGCCCAAGTGATTCATGAGCTTTCATTCTTTTAATGCCCACAACGACCAAGCAGTTAGGGTTTACTATTAAGCCGATTCTACAGCTGAACAAACTAAGGTATGGAGAGAGTAAATCATCTGCCCCAGATCAAAGAGTCAGTAGGCAAAAGAGCCACTATTTGAACCCAGAGAGTTTGACTTCTGAGACCATATTCTTAATTTAGGGACGAATGAAAGTTTCATGAAGAAAAGGAGGAAGAAATGAATTGGAAGGGCTGTGGACAAGAACGATCGGAAGTGGAGGTATCCGAGCACGTGGAGAGTGATGTCACCACCGGGGGAGCCGGGGCTGGGGGCTCAGGCTTTACCCTTCTCCACAACCTTAAATCTTCACCTCTCTCATTCTTCAGTTTGGACAACTGCGTTTTCTCAGTCTTATATAAAATGACGTCAGCCTTTCCAAACAGATTGTACTCCCTTATGACTACACCCAAATAAAAATGTTGGCATTGCCGCTGGTGGGGGTTGGGGTTGGCGGTAGTCGAGAGGTATCAGCCAATGCAGAGGGACCAGCAAAAATAAATGCATCAGACATCCAATGGGGCCAGGTCAGTGCCCAGAAACATCAGACTTCTCTTCCTCTGCACACACTTCCCCCCTTAAAGAATAAAACATGGAGATGTGAGAAGTCATTTTGAGATCAAAGGAGTCAACTGCTTACTGATAGCCACATTAAAGAACAGCCTTTGGTCATGCCTACGTAGGAGTTTAGGTTATTAAAACAAGATCAAAGATGCAAAGTCCCAGCTGGAGCTGTAGTCCAGACCACGCAGGAGGGATGCACTATGTCTGCCAGTCATTATCCTGGTTTGCGGCCCTCTCAGCCATACTGTGGTCCTACAGACCTAGTTTTGTCACTTAGAACCTCATTTCCTCCCCTATTAGCCCACCGCACCTCAAGAGAGGTTGCTGACATCAGCCAAGCCCCAGAGGAAATTTAATTAATAAAACTCAGAAGGAAGATAAAAGAGCCACCCTTGCAAGTGGCCAGATAATAGCAACTGGGTGTGTTTGTAGGGCTTGTACTGAGCTCCACAGATAAAGAATTTAAATATCTCCCACTTATCATTTTTTAAAGGTTTACATTGGTAGCACTCCACAAAGAACATTCTCATTAATTTGAGAAGGCCTGAAATTAGCTCATAATTTCCCTATTTCTAAGACATTATCTGGAAACAATTCCTCTGCCATCTAAGGTAATTACTGTAATGCCGGAGGGCCAGAGAGAAATGAGGGGTTTGAGTAGCTTGGAAAATGTCTAAGATGACTGACCTCAGAAAGCCACAGTCAGGGAGATGGGGCAACCTTTCTGTGCAATGGAATTATATCTGTAGTAATTCTTCCCATCAACAGAGATGACTTTTTAAAATAAACACAATGAATCAATTTACAATCCACAACATTAACATATCACAAAAAAATTTATATTCCAGAGGGATTTAGATTTCCCCTGTAAAATCAATGTCGAGACTATTTAGACCAGAATCCTTGGGGGGAAGGAAGGTCAAAACGTAGAATAAGACTTGATGCTGAAACATGAGATCTGTACTCGTAGTCATACCATTCTCGCCCTTACTTCAATTTCCTCCTATCTCCAAAATGTAGTAGAAAAGTATACAATTTCCTTCTCATTCTATCCCAATTTCAAGGTGTGATACAAGCCACAAATGCTTCTAAAAATAAGGCAGTGTTTCTTGAAAAGTGAAACTGTAATAAAAACTCTGGAGATTAATTATTAACCTCTATGAATCCCTCACTCCAGAGCAGAGAGGCAGTGAGATGCTTTGAAGTCTGGGAAACAGTCCTTCCTCCAGAATATGGTCAAAGGAACAGGACTCTCTTAGCTCAGCCTCAGCTTTCTATTTTACCATGATTACTATTGACCATTCTACCGAAAGTCACATGAGAAGATAAGGGCCATAGATATAGAAGAGCATTTCCAGATAATGATTATGAAAAGTCAAAAAAAAAAAAAAAGTAATGTGGGAAATTTCCTCTAGATAAGCCTTTAAAAACGAGGCCTTCATGTGTTGGGCTCAGAGAAATGGGCCAACTATCCTATTAGGGTCTCTTTCTCTACTGCGGCCCATGAAATCTCACCAGAGCATCTTGTGGGCTGTTAGGGAGGCCAACTCTTCTGATCTCTTTACTAAACAACCTTGGGATACTGGCCATATTTTAGAATGGCAGGACTTTAATTCTACTCATGTGTTTCTGTGTCTAGATGTCCCCACATAGAACTTGTCCTTCAAGGACAGTACAGTCCTGGGAACTGCTCACATCTTAAGATCAAGAACGGTTCTTCTTTCAGAAGATCTCGATCTATTCGGTTTGCAGCGTGCTCCAACTCCAGGCTCATCTTTGTGCCTGGAACTCCAAATGGGGAACAGGAAAATGCCCACCACATGGTAAACCCAACCTATCAGTCAACTGTCCCAAGAACCTTGAAAACTACAGAGAATAACAAGTCATGGTCTCTGTCCAGAAGAGGTATCAGGAAGATAATAGGGAACAGCACATGAAACCACCTAAGAAACAGAGATGCACTGTAGGCTTTTAAAGGAGGGTGAGTTCTTGGGGTTACCGGCATGGACAGAGAGAAATGGGTTGTTATCTGAGCCTTAGGAGTATGCAGGAGTGTCTGGCTCCCGCCAGACTCCAAAGGCTGTGTTGAAGCAATTCTGGAAAGTTCAACTTGACTTTAGAACACTGAGTTACAAGGCTCTCCTGGGAGACTTGGAGATTCTAGGGTGAACCCAATGGCTTCAGGTGATCTGCTAAATCTGAGAACACTGGAGCCAGCCATGAATGTCCACTCTGAAGAAGACATGTCCAGGGATCTTCAGGGCTGTCTGAGGCTAGGCCACTGTTCACAGGCTGGAGGGTAAATGCAATCACTGACTTCCCCCTGCATCCTTCATGAAACCTTTTCATACTGGTCAGAAGAACTGGGTAGTCTTCTCTGAATAACCAAGACTGTAAAATTATCTGTTAGTCTGTTCTGAAGTGTGTGACCAAGAAAACAGTGGGTCTAAGAAATTTACTTAAAATATATCATTAAAGGCAACCTATAGAATGGTAGAAAACATTTGCAAATCATATTTCTGATAAGAGATTAATACTCAGAATGTATAAAGAACTTCTACTAGTCAACCACAAAAAACAAATAATTATTAAAAAGTAAGCAAAGGACCAGAACATTACTCTAAAGAAGACCTACAAATGGTTAAGAAAGCATATGAAGGGATGATCAACATCACTAATCATTAGAGAAAAATCAAAACCACAATGAGATACCACCTTATACCTATTAGAATGGCTACCACCAAAAAAAACAGAACGTGGAGAAATTAGAACCCTAGTGCACTACTGGTAGGAATTATCATTATAATAGCCAAGAGGTAGAAGCAGCCCAAATATCCATCAACAGATGAATGGACGAATGAGCTGTGGTATGTCCATACAATGGAATATTACTCAGCTTTTAAAAAGAAGGAAATCCTGTCACATGCTCCAACATGGATGAATCTTAAGGATATTATGCTAAACGAAGTAAGCCAGTCACAAAAGGACAAATACTGCATGATTCCACTTATATGAGGTATCTAAAGTAGTCAAATCCACAGAGAGGAGAATGGCGGTTTCCAGCGGCTGGCAGGAAGGGAAATGGGAGTTGTTCCGTGGGTACAGAGTTTCAGTTTTCCAGTGTGAAACGGCTCCAGAGATCTGTTGCACAACAATGTGAATGTATTTAAGACCACTTAACTGTATACTTGAAAATGCTTAAGGGAGTAAATTTTATGTATTTTTTAATAGTTCAAATTTTAATATGTTAAAACACATCATCGAAAAGCACTGAATAGAGCTAGATGCTAATTTAAAGTTAGGAAATACCACAAGAGACATAGAAAGCAGCATGAGAGGGCTGAGAAGGATGTAAAATCTCAGCAAACCCCATTTCCTGCTTCCTGGGGCCCGAACATCCCTGTCCTCCCTCAGCATCCTCCCCACAGGTTCCTCACGCAGGAATCTGTAACCCTGCCTTGCTCCAAAAGTCCCCTAGGCCAAACATCTTCCTCAAGAACCAGCTGGTCACAGCCAAAGCCCCTGCTACTTCGGCATTTTGAAGGCTCAAGTCAAAGACAAATAAACATGTTTGTCCCAAAAGGAAGCCATTTCTTTCTTGTTGCCTCAAGGGGCAGAGAGCAATAAAGCTTTATGGTTGCAATTAATCAAGCCTATAGAGGCCAGCGCTGGTTAATGCAACATGAAAAGGAAACCCCAGACAAAAGCTGCCTGCCTCTCACCTATTAATTTCTGTCCCCTGCCTGATAAGAAATACCCTGCAGGCAACTTCACAGATCCCTAGTTAAGGAAAGAGCCTTGGCTTGACTTGGTTAACTTGCTCTGGGTGTTGCCTGCTTTGCACTTTTTTGGAGCTGGGGCAGGGGAGCAAGGTGTAGTGAAGCCACCCTTCTGCCAGCCTTTTCCTACCATCTCAACTAACCACCAGTTAGAACAGCATGAGGGGAGACGTGTGTGTTATGCCGGCTCGTGCACTGTTTGCTTACATATATATATAGAAGCGAGTGTTTATTCACGGTGACTGCTGATTCTGATGATAACATTTTAAACATTTATAGAAAAATCTGGAGTGGCTTGTCTACGCTACAGAACTCTTTTCAGTTGTCTCCAGAACAAGTTTGGTGAGCCAGGAACACCCAAATGGCTACAATTCATCCCAGCTGAAGTAATTTGTGCCTACATGTGGGGTAGAGGGCAGCAATTCCAATCTTTATTTGCTAGTTTTGCATATTTTTAACCTAATGAGAGAGAGAGACAACTCCTTATTCCTTCTCTCTTAATGAACGGGGTTTAATGCATTCAGAAACACATCCCCACCACCCTTCCCATTCTCTCCAGCTTCCACATGCCATCCTTCTGCTCACAGGTGACAAGGAAGAATAAGAAAATCAAAGACTTCAGGTCATCCCAAGGGCATCTTCTATGTGTACCAAGTATCCCCATAGTAGGGCTGAGAAACGAGTGAGACAATGGTCTCCCTCTCCAGTGTCTGGTCAGGGATTTGGGCAGAAAACTCAAAAAAATAAAAAGTAATGCTGGAATTTTCTGATGCCATGAAGGATGGCAGGCTCCCTAGAGAGAATAACTTCCCACAGTTACATCATAAATAAAACCTAAAGATAGGAATTAGTTTGAAATGGTGTGGTGGTGGTTAGATGAGAGAGGTCGAGTATCACGTGTGAGGCCCACTTCCAGGTAACCGAGGGATGACCACATGAACGATAAAGGTTCAGTGGGTTTCTGAAAGGGGTCTGAAGTCTAAAGAGAAAAAGACAGAAAGACTCCTTGATTGGGACAGGGAGAGGACAAAAAAATAGCTCAACAGAAGTCATCCCAGATTTCCATTATTTTCTCCTGGATTAAGAAATGATGTCGCTGACCTGATGGATCAGAGATAGTACCTACCTCCCAGATTCAAGTTACCTGCTTTTCTGTGGTGAAGTGTTTGGTTTTAATCTCCTAGGAGTTCCTTCCATGCCCTCTGACCAAAAAAGAACCAAGGCCAGTGCAAATTTACATAATGACTTCTAGGCAGGCCAGACTGCTGAAGAGCGCACACGTGCATGGTCACGGAATGTCTCTGAGAGCTTTCTTGGCAACAAATGGCCCAGGAGCGCAGCCAACTCTGAACGCCCCTTGTGTCTAACTTGTTGTCATGAACTCTGCTTATAGGGTGTGAACTCGGCATGGCACCTAGTATACTGGAGGAGGAAGCATGCATGGCATTTCTCTCCCCGGGAGGAGAGTGAATCACTTTTTAAATATGACTTCTTTATGACACAGTTTGAAAAAGAAAATTAGCTTCTGAGAAAGAACGGGAATTAAAAAAAGAGAAAAGAAAACAGTATAGCATGCCTGGAAGTGTAAAGAATAGGAACATTCCCAAGAGGGCTCAAATATGGCCCTTTCTATGCTGCCTGGTCCCGCAATGGGACCCTGCTCTCACTGGGAAGCTGTCATGTGTTCCCGACATATGACACTCTGAGATGAGGAAGATGCACAGGTCAGGAGCTGGCACCAAAAAGAGGAGACAGAGCCCTCAGGATCCCCACTTATCTATGGACAAGTCTTCCTTTCAAACCACTGTCAAGCCTTCCCTGCAATCTCTCTCTCCCCTTTGGGCAGTCACAAGACCTCAGAGAAGATAAATTCAATTGTAAAAATTAAATAACAGATGGAAGCACAAAACCCCAGTTTGCATGAGCCCAGATTCAGCAATACCAGGAGCCCAACTCACAGAGGCTCCTCACCAATGAGAAAAGCCTTTCCCTGGGGACGTCTGGAAGGGCTGAAACAGTATGCAACTGTAACAGAGCTGAAGCATGAGATTGTATGTATCAGTAGCACTGCAGTCAAAATATTTGTACATGCAACTAACGAGTCTGCATGTTAATCTTCCCAAATCGAAAACTCAGTAAAATTAGATGCCCAGGTAGATGCAAGGAATCGGGTCAGATGCTACAGCCTGAATTTCTCTGGGTCCTCTTTCAGAAGGTAACACAAAAAGGTCAGTTTTTGGAGAAACTCAATAACCTGAAAATCTTCACGCAGAGGAAAGAATAATCCAGAATTACTGACAGATGGGCACAGACCTTTCCATGCTCTCTCCAGAGCAAATAGAAAGGCTGAGCACGAAACAGGCACTCGACTGACCAGAAGGAGCAGCAGCCTGCCCACCTCAGCTAAAACCCTGATGCTCTCGGAGAGAACGCATTCTCCTGCTCCCCGCACTAGGGTGCCTCTCCACTGTTTATTCCCCATCACCTAGGTGTCCTTTCACACTCTGCTTTGGTGCCTCCCATGTGCTACTTCCTCCTTTTAAAAGATCCAGCTCAAACCTCACCTCCCACATAAAGCTTTCCCTGACTGTGCCAACGAGCTCGCCCTCTCCTGCCTTGAAACTCATCAGCTCTAAGTGTCCTAACCCTCCCACTGACCCCACGACAATTTCTTCCGGTGCACCTTGTATCACGAATACAACTCTTTAGCCCGTTCCGGGGGCCTCTGTGACGCCAGAAATCGAGCTTCTTTCTTCTCCCGTTACCTCCCCAGCATGCGACATGGTTCGATTTGAAACCCAATGATGAACCAGAGCAGCAGAGATGTCGCGAGGACAGCCCATCTTGGCACGGGGAGTGGCCACCTCTAGAGAGGCATCTCCTTAACCACGGCCTCAACGTAAGGCGAGTACCGGCTCATCATCGGCCCACCGGGCAGTTGCTTCCACAAAGGCGTCACTGTTCTCACAACTCTGCACTTCTATGGGTCCGAATTTCTATTTTAAGACAGAAGCCATGGCTCCTATGATATAAAGATCCAGGAGGACTTTAATCTATTATTAGCTTAAAGAGGGCAAGACATCGATCATAAAGGCAGCGCGAGGGAGGTTGCAGTCCAGTACATGCAATTTCTAACAATTCTATAAGGGTCTGGAAAGAACCTCAGAGGGACTGTGGCTCAAAACTTCATTTCAAGCTATGGAAACTAAAGCCCAGAAAGGACCTGTGATCTGCAGTCATTCGACGAGCTGGTGACAGTAGCGAGTCAAAATACCGGTCTCCTGACAACTCCTCAGGTAGACTTTTCACTATGCCGTGCTGGCTCTCCCTGAAAAACATGTTGTTATGAATAACAGTTGTCTCCATCGGGCTAGGATTCGGAGAGGAAGCGAAAACTCGAGAATGACCGCGCACCACACAAACCTGTGCAGCGCTAGGCAAAATTATGGCAAAATTAAAATAATCACCTTGATTGGTGATAAGGTGAACAAGGCCGAATGGTAGATTTAAATAAAACACAACAGATACAAAACCTGAATTTAAGTCCACAGTAACTTCCAGTCCGTTGCTGGGCAAGACATTTCCCTCTCTGGACCTGCTTTGCAGGTATAAAAACGGATGTCCACAGGGTTTCTGGTGTTTGGACAGGACCCATTCTTCTTTGGGACTGTTCTCCATAATGTAGCATCCCTGGCCTTAGGCCACTAGGAGGCAGTAGTGACCCCAGCAGGCTCTACGACAACCCAAAATACCATTCCCTGGCTGAAAACCACTGAGGAAGTCCCAAGGCCCTTGCTGGCTCCTAAAATGCCAGCGGGCAGACGCCACCCACCACAGGGAAGCGGGATGGGCGTGGGCCAACCCACCCGTAGATGTCCAGGACCCCGATGAAGGAGTGCTGCTTGAGGGAGGTGTGCAGGGCCTTGTTGACGTGGCCCACGATCCAGCCGAACAGCTGCGCGTAGATGTGCTTGGCCAGGGCGTTGCGCGCGTTGACCACCTGCTGCAGAGACATGGGCTTGACGTACGTCTCCGAGGTGGTGACCAGTTTGCGATGGCACAGCCAGTGCTCCATCTGATTGTGCTCCACCCCTAGCAGCTGGCAGAAGTTGCTCAGGTGTTCATCCTGGGGCTGGAAGAGACACGGGGAGACGGTTCAGGAGGAGCGTGGAGGATAAGCCCAGCACCGTGCCCTCTCCCCTCTGCTGTCGGACCCCCAGCACCCCAGAACCCCATTTCATCCCCAGCCGCTCGCTGCTCCAGAAGTCTGTCTCACACCACTAAGTGGAAATGGCAACGAGGGCCCAAAAAGTCGCTCAAACTGATCATCACACCCGCTAATGACCGAATGATCAAAGCTTTAAAAAATAAAAACCCACCCTCCTTTTCCCGTCCCCTCCTCTGGTTCAGGGTAACTGGTAGGAGAGGGCTCCTCGAATGAAGGGCGTGGAATGAGAACCGACAGCCGAGGAACAGGTAAGGCACTGGAGGGCGGCAGACCCAGTGCATGCACCGTTTCCACCTGCAGAGTTCCACACGCAGCGCTTAACCCACAGCCCAGAGGGACGTCCTCATTGACAAGCCCAACCTGACGAGCGCCCGCATCTTGGCTCAGTGATATTAAATAACGTGCAATTAAACTTCATATTCTTAAAGCACCTGATGCTGCAGTGGGGGGAAAGTGAATCCAGGTGGAAAGCTAGGACAAATGGCAAAAAATATGCAACAAACTTTGACCCAAGAAGATCGCCTGGAGCTCTGTAACTGATAACATCACACGCTTAGAGCTGGGGGGTGGGGGAAACCAGGAATTCCGCCAGCTTAAGTCCTTTCCCTATACAGGTGAGAAGCCAAGTCCCAGAAGAGCACAAAGTCTCACCCAGGTGCCCAGGGCCCTGCTGCCCAGTGAATCCAGCTGCATTTCATCTTGACCCTCACTCACCCCAACGACCAATCATACCACCTGGCCTTTGAGTCCCTGATAACTAAACCACCTGCAGGGACTTCTCTCATTTCACCTGGATGCGGACGGATGTCTCTTGGACAATTCTTGCTGAGGGCACCCCAAGGAAAACCTGCTTTTCCTCTCAAGTTCCTCTCCCCATTATTCATTCCCTCATCTAAATCTGCCAGGGAAAGCTGATAACTGGGCCATGAGCCTGCTATTAACTCCGAGGCTGAGAGGGAGTCCTTTAGAACATGATGTGCAGCCTCCTAATGGCCCTGAATGGCTTGTGGGATTCATTTTCTGATGAGGTTGCATCATAGGATTTAAATAAGGGCTTGTTTAATGAAATGAACAGATATCCCTAACATTTCCCGCTTAATATCCCCAGGCCATTTTTTTCTCCAACAGATATTTAAAATCTACCCAAAACAAACACAATTACAAAATAACAGAATGCCAGAGTAGGAAAGACCCTCTAATTCATTAAGGCCGGTGTTTTTCCAAAGTATAGTGTGTGAAGCAATAGTTAACAAAGATCATTAATTAGTTTTACTTAACAGAAGGGGAGGGGAGGGTGGCACCAGATCAAACACAACTGAACTGGTTGGTTGACCCACCCTGTAAGTATCAAGAGAGATTTTATGGAGCATTTCCTGAACTTAATTGACCAAAATATCCTTATCTTCCTATAATTGGTTAAAGTTCCCAGGAAACTATGTTGGGAACTATCATTCTGACCCAATCCTTCTTATTTTTCAGGTGAGGAAAATGAAGTGAGGCTCCCCGACTGTGGCCCAGGCCTCCTAACCCAACCCAGGAGGAGAATCAGCCTGGGCTGAGTGGGTGTGGAGAGGCCCCTGTCTTTTTGCTCAGCAGGTGGGGACGCCAGGGCTACTTTCCCTGGCCAAAAACCCTTCACTCTGGAGCTACTCCCAACCTGCCAGCCCCTGCCCCCAAACAGAAAGCTATACAAGGTAAAATGAAGTGCCTGGGGATATCTTGGCAGGTAACAAGATTAGAGGTGGCAAGGGTCCAACTTGTTCATCTGACCTATTTCCAAGAAATGCTTAATTGCCAGGCAGGGCGTTGCAGCTGGATTCCCTGACATGTAAATGGCCTGGCAGCAACAAACATAGTACCTGAGCCTGCCCACAGGCTCCCTCCCCTCCCCGGCACCTCCCAGGTAAATGCAGTGGAGAAAGGCCCTGGATTCTGGGAGTGATCATCACCCCGGGACGGGTTCCCACCCACTGCAGTGGGGTGCAGCTTCGCCCTGTGTTACCCACCTCTGACTGTTGATTAAAGATGCTAACTGAAACTGATTTAACATCATGCAATTACATTTAAGCTTAATTAAATGATGCTAAATCCATTAAAAATGGTCAGCATCACAGGTAGCAGATTAGGTTGGCAGGCCCATGTTGCCAAATTCAAGAAACAAGTTGCCTCTGGTGTCCAAGTAATTGGACGTTGTTGCATCTCCAAGGCAACTCTGGCAGTCAAAGAACACATTTTCATGACTTAATTAAAAATAAAAACTAGCGAGCAGAAGGAATGCTGCATATGGATAGATGGCACTTCCAGTAGGAGAGCCACCCTATGTGCCCGAGGGGTAAACCGAAATGCATTTGAGAAAAGGACCTCTACTACAACCATTCAGTGAAGCATTTCTTGAGCACGCTGCCAGGCACTAGTGGGGACATAAGGCCAGGGGAGGACAGACCCAGCTCAAGGGAATGACAGCCCGGGGGACGAAGCAGGGCTGGCAGAGGTGTAGAGGAATGGATTTGGATTCGGCTGGGTCCAGATTCAGCTCTGCTGTTAACTGTCTTCATGAACTTGGAGAAGGAGTTTCCTCTTTCTGGGCCCTAGTTCTTCTAACCCTGTGAAAGTGTGGGGACATAAGGCCAGGGGAGGACAGACCCAGCTCAAGGGAATGACAGCCCGGGGGACGAAGCAGGGCTGGCAGAGGTGTAGAGGAATGGATTTGGATTTGGCTGGGTCCAGATTCAGCTCTGCTGTTAACTGTCTTCATGAACTTGGAGAAGGAGTTTCCTCTTTCTGGGCCCTAGTTCTCCTAACCTTGTGAAAGTGAGAAGGATGCTCGTAAAATCTGCTCTGGCTTTAACCACAATGATAACTCTCAAGAACTCAACCATGGGAGCCCCGTGCTAAGGCCGGTGCTACCATCCCTGACGAGGAAACAGAGCTTGAAAGGTTAAGTAACTATCAGTAAGGGGCAGAACCAGGACTGAAACTCGGCAGTCTTGACTCAAGAGTTCTCACTTTCAATTAGTTCTCTACACAGCCTCTAACTGGAGAACAATCTAAAACTAGCCTAGACCATGTACCTGTACTCAAAACCCTCTGAGAAAGGGCCTGCTGTGCCACACGGTACCCAAACCTCTGTCTGTCAGGTATCCTCCTTCCTCCCCTCCTTTCGCCACCACCTATGTCCTCTGTCCACTTTCCCCAAGTGCCCTCCAATATTCCCACCTGCATACAGTCTTTACACAAATGCTCAGTGGGTGCCAGTGTGTGCCAGGGCTGGAGTGGTGAGCACAGCAGACACAGTCCTATTGTCTAGTGGGGAAAACAGGCACTGCTGAAATAATGCCAGTCAACACATTCCTTCTCACCTGAGGGATCAGAGGCTGGGTGGGGAAGATCAGCCACAGGATCAGAGAGACACCTCATTTATAAAGCCCAAGCGCCGGCTTTTCCAAGAGACCCTAGTCTCACCCCATCCCAACCGCAGATGCCCAAGAACTCACTGGCTCTGGTTCTCACGCTCACTGTCTCAGATGTGCTCGTCCACTCTACCCACACTTGCATCGCCATTGAGCCTCAATCATCCACCCACCTATTTCTCGGGTGCCTACCAAGCGCTGGGTACTGGTGATACGATAATGAACAAAACAGTCCCTGCCCTCAGAGACTTTGGAGTCTCGTGAGGCAAATCACAATAAGCGTACAAATCACAACCATGTTAAGTGCCGTGCAGCAGACGTATGGACGCTGTAAGAATCCATGATGGGCAATGTGACCCTGAGGTGGGGGGACTGGGGGAGGGGTGGAGTGGAGGCCAAAAGAACATGTCACCTTTGCTGCATCTTACCGGCCTGAACCATGAGTTTTTCAATTCAAATGTTCCTAATCTCACCTGTCCCTGACAGCTGGCAGAGGATGGCTGCCCTAAGGAAGCATGGGACATTTATGGAGGTGTGTATGTGGGAGGAATGGACTCTGCACACTTTCCCATGAGGGGAAAGACACCAGGGACAAGACTTCACTGGTCCTAATGACTCTGCGTAAAGGGTGTTGGTCCTGCACTGGAGGCCCATCCATCACCCCAAGACACAGGTCCCCCTCTGGACACCCCAATCCCTCTCACAGCAGCACCACTGCCAGCCTCATCCCTGTCCCCTGCCCCACACTCAGGCACATACACATCGACATCCAGGAGCACCTAACAATGCCCAGCTCCGACCTCTTTCCATTCATGCTGGGCCCAGAGTGAGCTTCAAAGCTCTCATGAGGCTGCAGATGCCAGGCTGAGGATGGTGGCAGCTCTGAATGGCCCAGGGGACCTCCCAAACCTAAGACCATGTCTCTTTTAGGGAAATTGTAAGGGGCAGGAGTGAGGGGAGGGTGATCGGCTCTGCAGATGCCAGCTACAGTTCAGGCCTTCCTCTTCAACAAAGGCAGGGCCAGTTTTAACTTCTGATAGCCCCCAACCCTAGGCAGCCCCCAACCCTTAACCTCCTAAACAACAGGAAGTTAAGAAATGTCTGCTCAATTGAAAAAGCAATTGAATTGTGCCCACGTTCACATTCTGAAGCATTGTTTTCTGTCTTTTCC